TTTCTTTTTAAGGTTATTAAAAAGCTTAAATTATCTAAATGATTTATGTCTAAAAGACCTGGTCACTGCCATTTAAAACCAGATAAGCCAAGTTTGGCGTTGCATGCCTGTAATCTCAGCATTGTGGGAGGCTTATGTAAGAGAACTGTTACAAACTATTCCTTTTCTTTTTTTTTTCTTTTCTTCTTCCTGTTTGTTTGTGACAGGGTCTGGCTGTGTAGTTCAGGCTGGCCTTAAACTCATGGAAATCCTTCCTCTTGCCTCAGCTTCCTAAGTGCTGGGATTATAGGTGTATACCACTATGTCTGTCGGTGGTGAAATATTTCTTTAAGAGTTAAAATTAGCCAGACATGATGGCACACGCCTGTAATCCCAGCACTCTGGGAGGCTGAGGCAGGAGGATCATTGTAAGCTCAAGGCCAGCCTGAACTGCATAGCAAGACCCAGTCTCAAAAAGACAAAAAAAAAAGTGTTAAAATTAAAGCGGGGCTTGGTGGCAAGCACCAGCTCAGTACCCAGGGGGGCTGTGGCCAGAGGATTGCAAATTCAAGCCCAGCCTGGGCAAATTCGTGACTTAGTGAAACACTGTCTCAAAATTTAAGGGGAGGGCAGGGTTATAACCCAGTAAGAAGGCCCTAGGTTTAATCTTCAGTATTGCTCCCCCAATCAGAAAATTTTAAGTTACGAATTTGCTAAGTATAAAATAATTCTTAACCCAGACATGGCGGCACATGCCTGTAATCCCAGCACTCAGGAGGCTGAGGCAGGAAGATCATTGTAAATTGGAGGCCACCCTGGACTACATAGCGAGAACTGGTTTCAAAAAAAGAAAAAAATATTGATTGATAAATTGATAGGGTTCCTAAAAGAGGTTTATGTAGGTAATCAAAAATTATTAGTACTAGAATGTCATACTGTAGAAAGGGCATTCAGGCCTCTGATCACCAATGTCGTACGTGGGTTTTTCCCACCAGGAAAAAGAATAAACAAGTTTATTTTTTTTAGTTTTTTGAGACAGGGTCTTACAGTATAGTCCAGGCTGACCTTGAACTTGGTAATCCTCGTGCCTCAGCCTCACTGGTGCTGCTATTACAGACACCTGCCACCATGACCAGCTAAGAAATTTGTTAGGATTTGAATGCAACATACTTAAAAATTTGATCAGAATTAGAAATAAGAGCTGGGCATGGTGGCACATGCATGTAATCACACTTGAGAGGCTGAGGTAGGAAGATTTTGAGTCCAAGACCAAATTGGGAGGTGAGTGTAATGGTACACACTTGTAATCCCAGCACTCAGGAGGCTGAGGCAGGAGGATTGTTGGTAAGTTCGGGACCAGCCTGGGCTGCAAAGTAAGCTCAAGGCTAGCCTGAACTGCACAGGGAGACTCTGTCTCAAAAAGACAAAAAAAAAAAAAAAAAATACCAAACTGGGCTTCATAGCGAGTTTAGGGCTGGCCTAATCTACATAGTAAGACCGTGTCTCAAATAACAAAATGATCTTGCTCTCATCTCAACAAGGAGAGACCCTAATTTCCGCACATGCATGTATATCTATGCATGTGATTTATTCTCTGGAGAACGTAGTATATTTATTTGTGGTGTTAAAAGTTTTAGCCACAGAGATTATCCCATGTATCTTCAGTTTATTTTAGCTTAAAAACATGACAAAATGTATTATTATTCCATTTTGGTATAAACATCTTTCTTTTATACCAGCTTATACTCATAAATTTCTTCTATTTTTTACCTATTAGAATTTAATAGTAATAAGTCAGCATTCAAAAGTGAAGAAATTTGACAGATTAATTTCTGTAAGAGTTAAAATTAGAGTACGACGTGGTAGTGCGCACCTGTAACCCCATCATCTTGGGAGGCAGAGGCAGGAAGATCACCGGCAGGCCAGTCAGGGATACATAGTAAGTTCAAGACCAGCCTGAACTACATAGCAAGATCCTGTCTCAAAAAGACAAAATCAGAATAATAATAAAAGTTAAACAAGACTGGGAGTGCTGGCTCAGTGTGAAGGGTCTGAGGTTAGCACCCAGGACTGTCGGGGGGAGGGGGAGTAAAATTAAAATACCGGACACTGACAGTATTGAAATTGGATTTGTACAGAGTCCACCAAAAAATGTATACCCACTTTAGCACCTGGCCATCCTAATAAATGTCTGGAAGTGCGTGGCCACCACTGTGAGTACTTCTGGTAGTTGTAGAGGCCAGAGGTAACTTGCATAAATCTCATCGTGTCTGCATAAATTTAGTACTTTAATATGTATGCAAGTTTCTCTTCCTGTGTGTCGGTTTTGGCGCACTGGGCGTTGTTTCGCTGCTTCTCTGACTCCGCCTTGCCTCCGCAGCCCAAGGTGGTCACCGACACAGACGAGACGGAGCTCGCCAGGCAGCTGGAGAGGCTCGAGCGCGAGAACGCCGAGGTGGACGGCGACGACGACGCGGAAGAAATGGAAGCCAAAGCTGAAGATTAACTCCGTGGGAGACAGTCCAGTTTGAGGAACATGAAGCGGTCTTTCCTGGCTGTAAACTCTAGACTTGAAAGTTTTCCAGTATTGAAAACTTCAAAGCTGAATATTTTTTATTCCAAGTATTTAAATGTTCCCGCAGACCGAACCTGCGATGCCCTCCCGAGTGTGGGCCGTTCTCGCACATTCACACACAGCGATTTTTAAGGGAGTGGCCTGACTTCACTAGATGCAGATCTTTTAGCTAAGAACGTCCTAAAACTGGGCTCGTGATTTCCACTTCGTATGTCTTCAGACGGGCACCCTTTGTAGCTAGTGCCTCCATGACGTTTACCAGAGGCACCCAAAGCGAACAGTAACAATCTCAATCTTTCTATATAAAATGTATTCAACCAAACATGAAATAAATTTCTGGGATATTTAACTATAGGCTTTTTCCTTCTTGTCACCAGTTAAAGTATTCTGAGTGCTAAGCCCCTAATTCTGTTACCTTTCATCTAGATGTGGAAATACAAGATTAGGTGGTCAGAGGATCTATACGGCAGACCCTTTCCAAAGCGGAGTTCAGAGAAAGTATTTAAAAAACAAACAGTGAAACTGACCCTTGGGACAGCCTTAAATGCAACTGAAGGATTACACAGTAGTGTGCCTTTTACCTATTTGAGACGGATGACAGCTTGGTTTATGAGACTGTCACACTGGGGCCTTGGTGGTGTTCTAAGCTGCTTGCCTTGAGTTTCTAAGTGGTAAGGGTTTTTTCCTTTGAAAGAAGATGCTGCTGTTTTGATTTAGTTAAGAAACAACATCATCTACCACCTTTTGATTACTTTTTTGTCTTCCCCTTTAAAGTATCTGTGAGGTGCCACCTCTGTATTTGGTTCTCCTTAGAACAGGGATCTGTTTGAACAGTTAGTGATTTTGTTAAATTTCCATCATTTCCAATATCAGATTATTTTAAAAGTATGTATACAAAATTTTACAGGTAACACAACGTTTGAAGTTATAGCTATAGTAGTCAAGTATAGAAAATCATGCTAGGCGTAGTGGCACTTGCTTCTAATTCCAGCTAGTCAGGAGGCTGAGGCAGGAGGATCACAAGTTTGAGGCTAGCTGGACTAACTTAGTGAGAACCTGTCTCAACATAAAACTCTGGGAATGTGGCTCAGTGATGAGTGCATTGGGTTTGCTCCCCAGTACTAGGTGACAAATGGGGAGTATAGAACATGTTGAGTTACTTTGGTGTGCTTGTCTTTATAGTTTTAATCTCTTAAAATACTTGAAATACCAGTTATTTATTATCCCTAGGAATAGCTATTAAAACACATAATTAAATTTAGCCCACCTTGGTCAATGCAGGACCAGACTTCACTCAGTATTAAGGGTACTAGAGCTGGGGTTTTTGCCTACACTCCCAGCCACCTGGGAGGCAGAGGCATAAGGCTAGATTGAGCCCGCGGCAAGGCCAGCCCGGGCAGCAGAGCAAGAAAACGGGACACTGGAAAATGAGTGCAGTGGAGAGATTGTACGTAGTTAAGGACCTTTATAAAGGTTCGATCCTTTAATGTAGCGGCCCGTAACCTTAATCCAGTGGTCTAACTGAAGGTGGCTTATTCCAGCAGGGGGCCTTGTGTACCCCCCAGCGTGCCATAGAGAACCTGGGTGTACTGGAGACTTACATAATTTTCACTTTTGTCTTTGAGGCTTTGAACAGGTTTATAAAATTCATAGCATCAAGATGTTTCCAAAATACAACCGGTGCACCTTTGCTGTATCCAGGGGAATCGAACTTTTTGTCTACCGGAATTTTGAGACTTCAAAAGCCATAACTTGGAAAGTATTGGTGGCCTCCATGGTGATTTTTACCCCGTGCAGGCTTTCGTCAGTGCCACCGTGCTGTGGTTGATGGGCCCAGCCAGAGAAAAGGTCAGCTTTGCTGCCAGCATGAGCGAGAGAATACATGCAAAGCGTGCGTACGTCTTTTGCGTACATCTTGCTGACCTGCAAGCAAGGACAAGACGCGTGGAGACGAGATGCAGACCTCCCTCTGCCTTGAACAGGACCGACAGATGACCAAACAAGTCTTGATTCTCTTACCAAAGCTTTTTCATTTAAAATGTTGACAACTTCACATTTCCCCCAGTGTGCCTTTGTTCAGGTCAAGTGACTCTCAGTCATACAACAAAATCACTGATAGTTTGGTTCGTGCATAAATTAAAAGTAATGTTAAAAATATGAACATTTAAACCACTTACTGGCTTTATAATGAGCCAGTACCCACGTGTTGCAGCAATAATAGTAACAGAGACAGCTAACCACTGCGTCACGCTGAGTGGAATAATCACCTATTCTGTCCAACAGTTCATGACCTAGCAACTTTGACACCAAGAACAATTCAGTGGGTTAGGGATTTTTAAGTTCTAGCCCCTTGCCAACTTCACTGATTTGCCTCAAGCTGACAGTGGTCTACTTTCCAACACCTGGAAATCCTGACATCAATACGAAGAGACACAGTTGTGCCAGGTTGGAGGCAGGAAGCCATGAAACCGAATTAGTTTAATTCAGATAAGCACCTGTCAGTATTCAAAAGGCAATAAAAGTAAGTACAGGGACATTAAGGCTTGTGAAATGCCAAAAGGAAGATGGTGCCTGAACAGGCAATCTAAAACGAAAGGAACAGGGAAAGACATCTTAAGTCCTGGTAGTTAGGTCAAGTAATCCAGGTAAGATCGAGAGGAGGAAATTGAGCTGGGCACAGTGGCACACACCTGCAATCAGCACTTGGGAGGCGGGAGGGTCACAAGTTCCAAGCCAGCCTGGGCTACTCAGCCGAAAGTTGCAAAAAAAGAACAGAGAGGAATCTATTAGAGAACACATTTTGCTTAAGCACTTTGGAAGTTCCCATTCCCCGTACCTGTAAGTTACGTATTTTATTGAAGCCCAGTAGTTTGTACTTGGCAAGAATCCTGGCAGTATCTTGTGCCAGATCACTGTATGAACTTGAAAGTAATAAAAACTGTTCTTTCAAAAACACTGGATGATACAGACTTTTCACTACTCCAACCTCCCAGCTAGGGAAGTTTCTTGCTGTCTTTCTCCATTAACGTTCGTTTTAAAACCAAAACTTTGTGTCGTGATTTAACTTCTTTATGTCTTGCTGTCCTTCAGAGAGCCTCCTGCTCTTTGTCCTTTTTCTAAATGCCTATTTTTCATAGAAAAACTAATTTTTTTTTTTGTTTGTTTTTGATGTGGTTAATTTCTACAAGTGAATCCATGACTTCTTTCCAGGCAAGCAATGTCCTCTGAATGTTCAACTGAAGCTCTGCCTGCATCCCCACTCCACAGTGTCTTAGTGACACAGACCATGTGAAATATTTCCATAGTCACCTTGAATAATACATGGACTGTACAGGTAGGAAGCCTCTGAAAACAATAAAAACCAAACAAATGTCAGGCTTTATTAATTCCAAAGGAGGAGACAGGAGTTACTGACATTTCAGACAATTCACTGAAATAGCGTGGCCACTTAGTGTTCCAATCGAAGGCTTTGGCTCTGGCGCCCAAGGACATGGCTGGCCGTCCCGACGGGCGAAAGTCAAGACGCTGGCACCAGTGCCGTCCTAGCACCACCGCTGCGTGTCACCCGAGGACCTGTCCAGCAGTCTTACCCGAAGCAGTGCAAGATGTACATTCAAAGTCTCTTTCTTTCCTGGGAATTCGGGCAGTCTACCACTTGGCACACCCCTAGCCCAAGTCTCCACACACCCATTCTCCAGGAAATCCTCTGTGCCAGCCCGCAGCGGGGAGGGGTCCTGGTCCTTGTCATGTGAGCTTTTTGATAGCTTCAATCCACTCTGTCCTTTCAGCCTTGCTGCTGGCCTGGATGTAATAGTGTGTGTCATCCTTCGTGATCACTTTGAAGAGATTTCCTTGGACATTGCCTTTAACCCCTAGGCAGAAAAAAGGAAAATCAGTGAGTGAATGTCCACATCTGCTTTCAGCTTGAAGCAGCTGCACGTCAACTGAGACATGGGCAAAAACTCGTCCAGTGCAGTATCTCTTAGGTGTGTGTGTGTGTGTGTGGGAATCCTATCAGGTGCGCGCTTCCTTCGCTCCCTCTCCTGCTCCCCGCTGCACCTGCGCTGCTCACCCGGACACCCCGCAGCCCTTTCGCGTGTTCCTGTGCTAGGCCGAGACCTGGCCTAGCACATCAGAGTCCAGTGTGTTTACATGAAAAGCGGGTACAGGATTTAGTCTTTGGCTTTGGGCTTCATTTCCCACATCCTCAAGATAGAATATTATCCCCCCACCATGGCTTGCTATCATGAAATGAGTGTAACAACAGCTAAGACCCTGTTACAACCTAAGCATTTATAAGCCTCAGCTGCCGTTAGGCGGAAGCTTACAGGCCATCAGCAGAGTGCATATTCAAATAGGTTATTTATTTGAATCCTTCTATTAAGAACATCCCAAATTCCCTTTCCTCTATTTCTGAAATTGGCTCCAAAACTCACACCACAGCTGGGTATGGTGGTGCATACCTATAATCCCAGCATTCTGTGAGGCTGAGGCAAAAGATCACAGATTTGAGCCCAGCTGAGCAACTCAGGGAGACCCTCTTTCACAAAGGGCTGGGGAGCCCGGCATGGCGGCACAGGTAGAGAGGCTGAGGCAGGAGTATCACCGTGAGTTCAAGACCAGCTTAGAGCACATAGCGAGTTCAAGGCCAGTCTGAGCTACATAGCAAGACGCTGTCTCAAAACCGAAAGGAAGAAAAAATGCAGATGTAACTCAACGCGACGGCACAGAGCAGACAAACCGAAAACCACGCATTCATTGCCTCACTGAGGGGCTGGGGATTTAGCTCAGTGGCAAAGCGCCTGCCTGGCAAGTGCAAGGTTGTGAGTTCGGTTCCCGGTACTGGAGAAAAGCCAAAAAAAAAACAAAACAAAACAAAAACATTGCCTCACTGAGTAAAGCCCCTGCCAGCCCCACGGCGCGCGCTCTCCTCGGGAGGCACAGAAGGGAGGCCTGCAGTCCGTGGGGCCAGGGTTGAACTTGTACCTTACCTGTGGGAACACCATTATCCTCCAGAGCAGATACGAGTGAGCCACGAAGAGAAAATCCACCCACTGGCCTATTCTCTTCCTGCAGAGAAAAGATGGGAATTTTGTGAATGCGCAAAGGCAGGTCACACCGTCCCCATCACAACCCTGGCTGGGCTTTAGCTCTGTGGCAGAGCAGCTGCCTAGATGTGGGAGCCCCCAAGTTCAATCCCCAGCACTATAAAAGTAAAATCATTCACAGTAACAGAAGATGAGGCTGTACCTGCAGTCACACGGGCACACTGCCGGCGCCCGTAGGGAAGTTTGGGCCCCTTCCTTTCACGGCCCACAGCGACAGGGCCCCCAGCACTGCTGAGGCCGCGCCTGGTGGGGCCGCGCATCAAGCTGCACGGTACTCTTGGACGCCTCTCAAACAGGGCCTCTGACCTGAAACTCTAAGAGGCGCACACACGGCTTCCCTAAGCCTTGTGTGACTAGGACCAAAAAGCACATGCATTTATAGTTATTTCTGCAAAACTGTGAAACACGGCTACACTGGACACCATCATACGAGGTCCTGGTTATGTTCTTCCCATGAAACTTGGAGGGAAACAACTGTGACCTGTGGCATCTCAGGATGATTCAGGAAAGTTTTATGTACCAGGCCTCCCTTCAATTAAGCAATAACCAATTTCATACGCAGGGGTGGACCCAGCTGCACGTATGACACCCTCGCCCAAAAGCCACTGAATGGCAACACCAAGTGTGGTGGCGCACCCCTGTAATCCGGGGAGGAGGACTGCGGCGAGTTCGAGGCCAGCCTGGGCTACACCGTGAGTTCAATAGCAGCCTGAACGATATAGTGAGATCCTGTCTCAAAAAACCAAAACAAAACCAGCCAAAAAATAACAACGCCAGCGATGTTCACTATTCGATGGCGAGGGAGGAAAGCGTCAGAGGAAGAGGAAAGCCGCCGGGGGTGGGGCTGAGATCCATCTCGGGGAGGGCCGAGTTGGCCTTGGGGTGGACTTCCAGCCCGCCAAGGAGAAAGGCGAGGGAGCCGGGGAGCGGATCAGCCACAAAAACGCCTTTCCGGGTGGGCTCGGGCTGAGGCCGTGGCCTCCTCAAGGACAGAGCGGAGGCCGGCAGGACCGAGAGACACACGCGAAACCAAGGTGCCTACTCGATCCACTGTTTTCCGTCGCTTCACCAAGGAACTGAGGCGGCCACGAACGTGTGACCTGAACCCACAGCCGGGCACCGTGCCCCTGTGGCCAGAGGGCGCTTCTGGAGGCCCCGGGAGGGCGGCCCTTCCCCGGCCCCGGCGCCTCGGGCTCCCGACGGAAGCGCCGCGACCGACCTGCTTGCTTCTCAGCGCCTGGCCAGCCCATGAAAGGCGAGGCGGAGGAGCTGCCCGGGCTCCGCGCCTCGGACAGGGGACCCGCAGCTCCGGGGCCGCCACGGGCCGGCAGTCAGCGCG